GGGGGGGGGCGAGCATATATACATATATATATATATATACATCTATATATATATATGTTTCGTATGTACTTACATAGAATACTCTACAACTATACATAATTGCAGATATACAGATTATATATATATATGTATGTGTGTGTGTATGTGTAGATATACACATATATATATACATGGATCCCGATGTAGGTTTTGTCAGTATGCTTGGCGCAGTGTTTATAGCGGCAGAAACCGCGGCCGATCGGACTCCCACATTCACAGGTCGTGGGTCCCTTAAGAGATTGATGAAAAGGCTTTTACGGAAACACAGAAGGAAGTACCCTAAACCCGAAACCCTTTAAACCCTAAAACATACACCCTAAACCGTACTTAATGTTCATGCCGGGCAATCTTGGCCGAAACCTCGGCTGCAGGAAGATCCTCTCCTCCTCAAGTCCTGCATTTTTCAGGGCTTACCCTAAGGGTCCAAGTACCTAAGAAGCATATACTCTCCCAAATAGTAACCTACATAACTACTATCCGAAACCTAAGTACCTGATTATAGGGTCCTTTGGACCCTTGGGGTTAGGGCTTAGGGACCCAAGGCCCCCCCAAAACCCTAGAAACCCACAACTTGCACAAGCAGTATATCCGGAGCCCCCCCCAACCGGCAGGTCATGAAAAGCCTGGCTTCGAATGTGCCCTTTGGCAACCTCTACGCCATCCAGGTGGCTTTACAAATCTAAGGTTGAAAGCATGGGCCTGTAGTGTGGGCCCTTAACCCTGGGATCCTTATACACCTACTATATACCCTTTATGTACCCTTAAGGCTACGCCATCCAGGTGGTTTTACAAAGAAGACGGCTCCAGGGAGGCTCAGTTAGGGGCCTTAATAATTAGAATAGGGTTTTGGGAGGTTCCTTATTATTAGAACTATAGTATAATATACACCGAAACCCCATTCTAAATATCAAGGCCCCGAGATTACCTACCTGGACTTACCTAGTGATATGACCGCCTTGCACGCCTTATGCTGTTCAATCGTAGAGTAACCCACCCATCTAACAAACTGGGCTTCCAGGGCCCATCCGGACTTCTACAGCCGAGAGATGATGTTTCTTAGGGAAGTCTTATTTGGGTTCTCCTTAAACCCTGGAGTTTAGGGTTTGGGGTTCTAACGGTTTCAGGGTTTAGGGTTTAGGGTTTATGGGGGCAAGCTCGCTCTGGTGTGCGATTTCGGCGTGCTTGCTTTGGGATTTGATCATGGGATCGCAGCTGAGTCACAGGTGCTGACGGATGCGCCAATGCCTATGCCAATCTTGCCACCGGATTTAATCGTGAGAGAAGTTTGCGAAGGAAATGCCGCTTGGTGCAGGTGAAGGTTTAAAGCCAACGTCATATAGAAGCCTATATAAACAATCACCAATAGTATTTTGGGTTCTTTTTTTATATACTTATAGTAAAATATACCCCAAAACCCTCTTCCAATAATTATTATAAGGCCCCTGCATTGATTCTATACTGCATACACGATGTAGCTACATGGACCCTAAACCCTAAACCCTGAACCCTAAACCCTAAGTTGCTACATGGACCCTTCGGGGCAGCACCGAGGTCCGTGGCGAGTGGACAGAGCCTTGCAAGCTGCAGACCGCGAAGACCTTGACTCTCGGCCTTGGGTTTAGGGTTTAGGGGTTTAGGGTTTAGGGTTTAGGGTTGAGGGGTCGATGCTTTTTGGTTGTTGGGGGCTTAGGGGTTTAGGGTTTAGGGTTGAGGGGTCGATGCTTTTTGGTTGTTGAGGGTTTAGGGGTGTAGGGTTCAGTGTTTAGGGTTTAGGGGGTTTAGGGTTGATATGGGGTGTAGGGGTTTAGGGTTTAGGGGGTTTAAAAGTATAGTTTTCATACTAAACCCTAAACCTAAGTGTCCGAGGTTTAGGGTTGAGGGGATTGGGTTCAGGGTGTTGGTTTTAACTGCCGCGGCGCTCCACCCCCCCTCCCCATATCGTGCAGGACGTGGAACTTAGAAGCTGTGAGTCAGTGAGGTTTAGGGTTTAGGGTGTAGGACTGAGTTTGGGGCTTAATCAGTGCCGCCCCAAGCTAGACTGAGTAAGTAGGGGGGTATCTTATAAGAGTTTGGGGTTTAAGGTTAGCATAATAGCCTGGATTTCTAAGTTTACATATAGCTCAGGTACTTATCAGTATGAACTGGACATGAAAGGGTTCGGGTCAAGTTTCAAACGACAACCCCACTGACCCCGAAATACTGAACAGTGACTGACCCTCGACCCAAAACCTTGATTCCTAGAGGTTTGAAAACCGAGAAGTCACAAGGCCGTAACAGCACTGTAATCGAATCTGTTCCTTGAGACGTCGCATTCGTCAGTCAAGCTCAGTTACGAAGTCGCCTTGATCCTTTAGCCGAAGCTCCGGGACCTCATCATCTAGTCACCCCAAGGGTCCAAAGTACCCAGTACTCAGGTACTTAGGTTTCGGATAGTAGTTCTATAAGTTACTACTATTTGGGAGAGTATATGATTCTCAGGTCCGTGGACCCTTAGGGATATCTGCAGCAGACCCCGAGTGGTTGTGCACCATCTTTAGGCATCCTGGCAGAAGTAAACCCTAAACCCTAAACCCTAAACTTGCACTCCAAGAAAAGGCACTTAGGAACCCACCGCCTCAACCTCCACACCATACCCAGAGAACCCAATACCCCTTAAATAAGGAATAGACCTTACATCATAATATTAAGGCGGTTTAGGGTCTAGGGTTTAGGGTTTAGGGTTGAGGGTATATTCCTTACTTAAGGGGTATTGGGTTCTCTGGGTACTCATACTCTCCAAGCGTGATGCCTTCATGGCAGAGTGTCCATAGAGCGACAGGTGGCAGGATTGATACACTTGGTATCCGGGAGATTTGCCTAAACTCTGGTTCAAACAGACGACATGTCATTCCAAGGGTTCTTGGTTTGCGACATTCCGGCACGGATTCAAAGTTCAAGCTGTCAGATCCCAAACCCTTTCGCCATAAGCCCGGAACCGAATTCCCGTAACCCTGGCCTGACAGGAAACCTAAACCCTAAAATCCCAAACAAAAACCTTCAAGCAAAGTATGATAATATGAATACTGGGGTTTTAGTGCTTAGGGTTTAGACATCGGAATTCGTAAAGGAACCACCTCGCGAGGCTCTATTTTCACGGCGGCGCCTTCGTTCTGTGCCGGGCAAGAACCGAGCGCATGCCGCTGGATCGCAGAGATTCACCGGGGCTCGCGAAGCCACAGGTTCTGAACCCTATACCCCAAACCCTAAACAAGTCCTAAGCCCTGAGCCCTAAACCCTGAACCCGAAACCCTAAGCCCTAAACCCTAAACCCTCAGCTCCGAACGCTAAACCCTAAGCCGTGGTCGAGGGTCTGCTGATGCCCTGTGAGACGAGGGCTTAGGCCTAAAGCTTCGCTAACACCAGGACCCATGCCCCTCGGCCTCGGCTTGTGTTCCCAGAGAACCCAATACCCCTTAATATCCTTTAACTAAGGAACTGACCTTAAGTTATAGTGGCCTCGATATTATGATTTAAGGTATATTCTTTAATTAAGGGGAAGGGGTATTGGGTTCTCTGGGTTTAGGGTTTTGGGTTTAGGGCTTGGGGGTGTAGGGTTTAGGGTCTAGGGTTAGGGTCTGCATTGTAGTTCCTGCCATGTTTTGGTTAACCAAATTTATGTTGTAGGATCCTAGCCATGAAACTGGTCATAACCAAAAGAAGGAGCTACAATGGATACTATAGGTAGGGTTCAGGGCGAGCATCGGTGAGAACCCCTTCTCCCCTGACACAGAGTCGTCAAATCGGAGAATTGCTGCAGCAAAACCTGCAGAAGGGGTCTCAGCTCGTCTATCAACAGTGGCATCCCTCTGGCCTTTGGCCCTGGGAGTTTTAGTTTGCGGACCCTAAACCCTGAACCCTAAGCCCGAACCATGAATGCCTGTACGATACCAGTGTCGTGGCACGGAAAGTTATCGAACACCTAAGCCGCTCATACAGGCTTCTGTATTCACCCTAAACTCTAAACTTCCCTTGTTTTGCACTGCTGGTCAGGGTCGTCGGCAATCTCGCAACTTTGCTGCACTGAGTGGTGTGACTACCGATCGAAGCACATCACATCAGGATTTCTGTATTTGTCATTTTGGTTTGGGGTACTCATGTTTTTCGTTACGGGTTGCTATGAAGAAGGCCACGTATCCTGCAAACCTGCATCCCCAATGAATTTCGCCGGCGTTTCTCAAAACACCAGCGTGAGTGGTCATGTACCTGCTTCCGATGCATGCTGCCAGCACTGTGGAGGAGTTGCTTCCGATCTTTTCAGGGTTTTGGGTTTATCCATAGGCCCTAAAGCAGTTCCCTTTTGGAGCTCATATATAGACTTCCTATAAGGTAACACCCCAACCTATGGGTTTGGGGTGTTCCGAACCTCCAAACCCTAAAGCCTTAACCCTAAACCCTAAACCCTAAACCCTAAACCCTAAACCCTAAACCCTAAACCCTAAACCCTAAACCCTAAACCCTAAACCCTAAACCCTAACCCTAAACCCTAAGCACTGTTTGG